ATGTTTCACTCACTGCTCTCATTAGTTTCATTTCCAAACGCAGCAGGCATCTGTTTTGAATTAAAAACTCTTAACAACGGTGTGCAACCTAGTTAGCGATTAGCTGGTGAACATAGTGGAGAATTTAGCAGCTAAAGAGCCAGATATTTCCTTCAGTTGCTGGAGACCAAAACAACCCAAAAGGAGAGTAAATAGTGCACAGTCTTACATACATTCATCAGGTGTCCAGAAACACGGATTTAAACAAATGCTAATGTGGCGCTGTGTCTGTTGGATGTGTAAATAAGCAACGATTTGCCGACAAAATTGCTGTAATAACTTGATAAAGGTGACAATTCTAAACATCAGTGCTTTGTTTACAGCTTGTTGTACTGCCCCCAGCTGGCCAAAATACTCAATCAATGCAGGTTAAAATAAATGATTTGAATCACACCAGAAGAGGTTTGTTAGCAGATGATGCTACATTTACTGCCATAGGACTGGACTAATCTGGAATCTTTTATATTTTCTCTGATAATGTCTGAGGAGACGTCTGCACATTTGCAACACACCAGCTATGTGGTTGCCTTGGATGCAGAGAAACAATAGGTAGTGGTGGATGGTTACAGTTTATTGTGATTACTTATCTGGTGGACCATTTGCCAACGCACTAGAGTAAAGCTGTGCTGTGGCTTTAGCTGTCTATCACAGTTTTTCCTCCAGATAAAACAATTTTGTTGGCTGCTGTGGCCCCAGTTAAACCAATGACCACGGATGGGATAATATCAATGTTGATTTATGGAAATGCATGAAAAACACAGTGCATCTGTTTATAGAGGGATTGCTGGAAGATTCGAGGAACACCACATGGTGGCTTTAAAATGAAAACAAGATTACATCTGGAATCACTACGGGTCCGTGAAGTAAATTAGAAATCTGGCCGGTGTGGTTAAAATTTTTATCTTGACAGCACAGACATTTCAAAAGCAGTATGCTTATTTCTTAATGTTCCATGAATCGACGTCAGGACTCAGTTGCCTAAAAGCAGGTTTCACATTGTCCTTAAAGCTAACACTGTGATTGAAAAAACCAACACCATGACACAGACACGTTGCCAAAGCAGCAGTAAATATTTGGTCTTTTTTACGAGTTGTACTTGTCTCCAGGGGTCGAGCTGCAACTGTTAAACGGCTGCTTCATGCTCTACCTGCACCTTTGAAGTGGCCCCTGAGTAACAGTCGAAGAAAGGTCTCAGTCCCTATTTGAAATGACCTTGAGGCAGACATTAAGAGTGGTGTTGCGATCTTATCTTTAACGTAAGCAGCATCACAGACACTCTCACATCTGCTGCTGCACACTAAGAGGCTTCTTATATATTGCTGAAAAGAGACATGTAAGTGCTTCTGATTATTCCAAACAAACTCAAGAGTCATCACTCTCTTTGTGGCAGTGAAGACCATAAGCCAATATGAAATAACCTATGATGCCTTGGCCACTAGGTACCGGTTTCAAGAAAACGTCAACTGTATTGAAGTGACTGAGAAACATCCCAGATTTTCTAACTTCACAAGTTCAATAAAACGTTCAATGGTGAATAGGGTTATCAATAATATAACTTCTTCTAATGTATGTTTTAGAGAGTGTTTTGCTTATTTGACAAGGGTCAGAGACTATCACAGTTAGCTGTTTCTCGTTTCGGGCAGCTTACTAAGGTGAGCCAAGTTTTAGGACAGACTGACACTTGTAGGTGATTCAAGGAGACAAAATTGAGAAAACTGTACCGTATATTTGTTGCAAGTATGCAGAATGAGCTATTTACAGTTCCTGTTTGCAATGTACCCTCATGTACAGATTACTACTACTGGAGTACTTTGATAATGAAGACAACTAAAAACATGATGTTTCTCAGGCAAGTTTAGCAGTTTTCAATTATTTCTAAGATGCATAGATGTCAATCAGTGGTAATGATGTTCCCTGAAAATAATCACACTGTATCTAAAAATTGTGTTTCATGTCTGTGTGTTTAGATTTAGTTATGTCTCAGAAAAAGAGGTTTTTTGACGCAAATTGCTGCAATTGGGTTTAAGTACCTTAACTGCCTCCACGAGCTGTATGTCAGACACACTGTTGCTGCTGAAACAGTTGATAGTGTTGGTGAGCGAGCCAATCTACATTAACTATCTTCCCATTTTTAGAAAACCAGCACACACCTGTCTCTTTCCCTTTATTCTATTCTGGTGTTAAGTACAGAAAGCAAAGGGAAACCCTTAATCGGTGTCAATGTCAATGCTAATTATTTCAAGCTACTGTTTGCTAAGTGGCAAAAATGTGAGTTCAACTCCAGAAAACCTGTAGGATGACGTCCCAGATGTCACACAGCCCAGGTTGGTCAGGGGTAAATGAAACCAAAATAATGAGAAAGAAAAAAGACTGCCAAGTTCAGCTTTCTCTGGTTGGAGGTGGGACACCCTGCCCTGTCACTGTCAATTTCATGATCAATACTTGTGTCTAACTGCAGCTTAATATTCATGTACATAAGAATCATTTCAGTGTGAAGTATTCCAGTCTGTGTGTCTAATGCTTTGACTGAGAAGAGCTCCTGTTGATTACAGAACATCTGTAACAGTAGTAAGAAGAAGTGTTTGATATAAACCTCAGAAGTTATCACACATCACCCTCTGCTGGCCAAAGCCCATCACTTCGTCACAGAAACATCAAAGCGTGAGGAGCACTGAGGAGGAGTTCTCTGTGAAGCTCAAGTTGAACTACAATGCCACTTGGTGGTCAGAAAAGGAATAGGCTGAGTTATAAATCAAACAAAATCAATTTAATATAATCTTTAAAAAAATTTTTAATGACAATATATATTTATATTAAAAATGTAACTTTCAAGGATTCATAGTCAGTGGCCATTTCCATTTGCCAGACACCCCTCATTTCCACAGACAATCAGAGGGGCCCATAAAATAAATGAATGTAAAACATAAACTGTATATTACATTATGTTCAGAATAAACACTAAAATCTAAGCTAAAGCTAAACTAAAATCTTAGTCTACATAACAATTTGGAATTACAATATAATGCAATCCAATACATTACCACAAACTATGGCCTTGGAAATAAACATTTCTATTCTAATAAACATATTGTAGTCAAAGTCTCAACATAAAGTGAACAATAAAAATTTCAGAGGTAGATTTATTGCAGGGCTGTTGCAGTGGATTGCATTATATTAAACAGGTGTTGCTCTTACCGTGTCAACCCTGTACAAAATCAGAGTCCTTCACAAAAATGACTTTCTTTTTTGTACTAAAAAAGCAACCAAGCGTTTTTCAAAGCCTCCTTTATTCTCTTTTTATAGAAATAACTGAGCTTGTTTAGGTGAATAAAACCCCCTGCTGCTCTCTCAAGAGTGAGGATGGTCCCTCAGAGTCGGAGCGAGCCTCAGTGGGTGGATGATCCTCTGACGACTCATTTCAGAAACACCAAGATGTAAAAAAGGAACAGGCCCTTTTGGGATTTCAGCCAGCTGGATTAAAGACAAGAGGCCGCCTGCCTTTTCAGAATATTGAGAGCAATCTCAGTGCTTTTGACACGGCTGTCAGCGGAGCGCTTTAATTTCGTGATCATTTTTAGACCTCAGCCCGATATCCTTTGGTACATAATGATCCCCCCGTAATTGTGTGGATAAATTCAAAGGGTTGGAAATAGCTAATAACAGCTTCACTGAGGTCGATTTACCAGCAAATTTCAGGCAGCAGAATAACAATTCATGAAATGGAAGAGTGGTTTTATTGATTCAGTAAGACAAACATGATAAACTGGCTGCTACAGGTCTTGACTGCAGCTCCGGAAATCAATTCCTCCACAACGTGCAGCACACAGCAGCTGGTATCGGCCACTAACATGCATGTATGTGCTGGCACTGAAAGATGAACCCATCTCGAAGTCATTAAAGTTTTCTGTCATCTGAAGAGCAAAAGACCTTCCTCTTGTTACCATGACAATTTTTATTCCAGCAAAGAAAGCCATGGTATAAGGCTGCATAAGCCAAGGACGTACGCGTTTATCGGATGAATGAATGTTTTTGATTTAGCAGGAGCTAAAAAACAAAAGGTAAGCAGAATACAATGTTTCTTCAACTTTTGATGACTTATTAGCGTATTGACACTGATAAGTTGCCCCCAAAGCAGCATGCTGAAACTTTCACTCTTTCCTGGCATTAGTACACGAGACAGGATCTGTAAATCTGGAACTCCAGTGGTTCTCGGCTCTTTTCCTTAAAGGACCCCTTTTCTGTCATTTAGTAAACTGACAACCCCTGACTAAGTGGCATATACTGTATGTGGCTGTATAGCAGAAGGTGAATGCTCTTTGAATAGAGATTTCTATCCTATCTTCTTATTTTTTTTTTCTCTAAAAACAGCAGTTTCATTTTGTTTTCCTCACATAAATGAACAAAATGCTGAGATATAGGCCTTTTTTAAGTTTTCGTTCATCCCTTAAAATCAAGAAGCCCTCAAGACCCCCTGTGAAGCTTTGGTGACCCCCAGTGGGGGCCCCAACCATTGCTTTACACAACAATTAACTATCTTCAAGCCACCAACCGAGTTTGTACATACTTACCTTTTGAAAAGCAAATGTCAAACAGTCTTTTATTTTCTAGATACTACTCTGCTTCATGTAGCAGAACTATAGCGATGTTACCTCCAGGCAGTAGTACAGATAGAAAATGAGCTAAGATGCTCACTGGTTTTTCTGATCCATTGCGGATTTGTCAAGGGAGCTAAACTTTAAATGAAGTGGAACAATTGAAAACAAATAACTCACAGTTCAGTCCATTATCTGTCGAACCAGGAACTGAGACAAATTAAAATCATTGTAACGCACAGAAGTAAAACTTGATTTCTAGATATGAACAGCAGAATTCAGAAAGTGAAGAATAAAATGTGAAAATACACACTTTTTGTTCAACTACCTGGCCACACACACACAGGCTACCACAAAACTTCCACTCACCAGTCTGTGTGTTGATCGTCGATGACGAGCAGGATCTTGGGCTTGCGTATGACAGGTTTGGGTGGCTGACTGTTTCCTGTTGGGGCTCCTTCAGCAGCTGTTGCTGCTGATTTGGCGTGTGCAGCAGCAGCGACGTTCTGGGCCATCTGAGCACTCTTCACCACGCTGGAGAAGGAGCTGAGGAAGCTCCCCGGGCCCGAAATCGAGCCTGAGGCTGAGCCCGAGGTTGGGCCCGAGGTTGGGCCCGAGGCCTGGGTCTGACTCGGGATGCTCGGGGGCTGCCGCCTCTCTGTGGCCGGGGAGGCAGGAGAGGAAGTGGATGAACCTGGAGGGGTCGGCCTCTGCAGATCCATCATGTAGCCATTGGGGAGGTTGGCCACAAAGCTGCTGTCTGACAGGCGCCGGCGGAGGTAGTTCATGGTGATGGGCTGGTGGGTCAGTCAGGCCAGAGGAGGTGAAGGGGAAGATAGCCTGAAGGAGACAAAGGAAGGGAGAAAGGATCTATTCACAACCTGTTTTGCAAATCTTGTCATATCTGATTATTTGTTTCACCTTAACATCATGTTTTAATGAAAAAAATCCATATTAAAGCTGCACTAATCAAATGTTTTTATATTAACAATGGATTAAATCACAACTTCTAATGGGAAAGCTGTCACCTGTAGTGACAATCCCACTGGGAATTATCAACCAACTCTGCAGTTCCACTTAGCCTATGGAGCACTTTAGCATCTTTCGGCTCATTATTATGATTTTACGGCTGACAGTTTTACTGTTTTGGTTCAGTCTCAGTGCTATCTGCCCTGTTTGCAGCTACAGCAGGCAGCTAGTCCAGCAAAAACACTAATAAACCCACTGTATGCACCAAAAAACAACAGACAAGATAGCGACTAGCTTGTAAAAGCATTTAGCAGCTAAAGAGCCAGATTTCCCTCAGGAGTTGGGGCAGACCAGAACAGAGCTAAATAGAGAGTGAATACTGGACTCATGTTCGTCAGGTGGTCAGAAACACAACTCTAAGCAAATGCTTGTGTTGCTCTTTTACAATATTCTTCCCAACAGCTTTACAAGGTGACATCAGTGGCGTGCTTACAGATTATTGCGCTGCCCCTTTAGTGGCCACAAATTTCATTCATGCAGGAAGCTCTCAAAATGCTATTTAACTGTGACAGTTTCTTAAGTGAGTAAAATAATATTAGCATATTATCACGATAGGTAAAATTTCATTTCTACAGTAGGCTACATGTAGGTATTCCTCAGGATTAGATTTTGTGTCATGTATAAATTTAGTTCCCGTGTAAATTGTTGAAGATATGAAGCTTTTCTGCTTTCTGATGTTCACACTAATTAGCAAACAGATCTGAGGTGAAGAGCGAGACCTGGAAAACATTCACTCAGTGTGTGAAGCACAGGAAGGTGCCAAAAAAAAAAGCTGATCTACTGTTAAATTGAAAGGGTGCATATGAATCTGCTAAACCTGATTTGCATAAGATTAAGTTACCCATGCAGGGTGGGACAGAAACCGCTGGCAAATAATTCAGTGACACAGCAGTGATGATGCAAAGTTGGAGCAGTGATTCACAGCTCATTTCTTTGTAAAGCAGATAGAGCCCGCTGGGAGAAAGGAAACAGTTATATAACACATGGAACCCAGCGTGGCAGAGAAGACACATTCACAAAGATTAGCTATCAAACTGCAATGATGCAAGCATGCTCGCGCAGGGGGAAAAGAAACCCTTAAACCTGATTAAAATTAGGCCGCTCTCATAGTAAATGGAGCTTGGATGAGATGAAAGTGCATTTCTTATTGAGGCGTCACGTCTCAGGCGGATGTGCCCAGTGTTTGTGGCGCTGTTCTTGTAGTTAAAGGGGGAGGAGGGTCCAACAAGCCCACAGCAGGAGGGAAAAGGATGTGGGGCAAATGTTTCATCTCGACAAGTTAATGTAGTCAGACGATCACCATCAGGAAGTCTTTGTGGAGAGTGAAAGTTGTAGCTTCTGCCTGAGAATCTGTAGGCAAGAAACTGAACTCAGATCTGTGAACCAGACCTCTCAGCGTGAGTGTAAAGTATTATTGTAAGTAGCAGTACTGATCATAACTGTTGTAGCAGTAGTGAACTACTACTACGACGACAACTACTAAAACTGCATACGGCCATACACCTCTCAGTATAACACAATACAATTCAACAGCGTCCAAAATGTCCATAAACTGATATTTACTCTCTTAAATTGTTTCTGCAAAACATTATAATTAATTAATTAATGAAAGTAGTATTTATTGCAGGGCTCTTGCATCAGACTGCATTAGGTTTGGCTAGGTGTTCCTAATAAACTGGTAATGGAGTGCATTAAAGCCTGTAAAGTTGTCGGGACAGACTTTCATAGGAATACACGACCTCCATTTAGTTCTGTTTTGGTTTCCACTAACTCCTGAGGGAAATATCTGGCTCTTGGGCTGCTAACTTTCTGCTGTTTGCTAGCAAGCAGAAGCCTTCAAAGGGATTCATCAGAGCGCTTTTAGCTGAAAACAGCGCTCATGAGTGAATGAAAGTGAATCAAAACCATAAGAGCTGTAAATCCAAAACAACATGCTGAAAGATGCTAAAATGCTCCGTAGAGCTGAAAGGACCTACAGACTGGTGATTTGTCACTACGGAGCACTCTTTTAACATTGCATGATGTTATTTCACCAATTTCTAATACATAATACAATACACAATCATACAAAAGCATTAATTGACTAGTTTAGTAGCTTGAATATATAGCTCCCCTAATTTCGAGAAACAGCTGGGGCCTCATTTATAAAACAGTCTTATTATCAACCATTACTGCCATTAGAGTACAATTAGATGATAATTAGCCTGATCAGCCAACGTCAGTAATCAATACACATTATTAAACCATTAATCAAACCAATTACCAACAGCAGTCAACATCAGACAACCTCAACATACCTAAGTGCTTCAGTAGTGACAGAACTTCCAAATATATGCATAGTTTGAAAATGTCAATGCAACCTTTGGGGACAAGCTTCCTTTAAGACATAAGATATATTAACAATTCCAGTATGTGTCTGCAAAAACACATAACTCTAGAAACACAAGCTAATGTTTGTCATATATCAACACTCTTCTTGTCAATCCTGCATCTGTATAATCCATGAAGATAAACCGCATTTCAATACAAACTTTACATGTTGTTGCCTCAACTCACTCTGCCTCCGTTGGTTTGCTGCTCATAGTGGGAGAAGACCATGAGAATGAGTGGTGAAACATTTTAAAACTTAACATTTCTCACTAAAATAACTGCTGGTTGGAGGATCAGATACATGCCGAATTAAACACAGACTCATAACACTGTTAATTCACTGTCTATCACGTGTGTGTCTTTTGGTCTGTGGCTCTTCCTACTAAACCCTCATTTGTGCAAGCTTTATATAAGGGGAAATTGCTAAGAAGGTGACGGTCATTTTTAAATTAATTTAAAAATGTATAGATCACAGGTGCATAAGTTACAAATGGGCTTCTTAGAACCGGCGTGAGCAAGATTTTTTATGTTCAGTATCTTTTATGAATCAAAAGTAAGGACACTGTCAGAAATAATATTAAGACTAAGCTCGAGTATAAATCTATGAACATGTCACAAAAACAGGAGTAAATAGTGAATTTCTTGGGAAGTATTTGCAGCGGTGGATTAATGAACATTTGGTGCTCTTTAATTGTCATGAGAGAACATGTCAAAGGGCAAAGGTGTGGCTCACTAATGTGTTTTTAATATTTTTTGGACTTTTTTTTTTAGTTCTATGGCAGTAGTTCCCAACCTGGGGATCAGAACCCCCAGTAGGGGTCGCCAAAGCTTCAGGGGGAGACACAAGGCCTTCTTGATTTTAAGGCGTGCTAGAAAACTTAAAAAATATACACAGAAGGCATATATCTCAGCATTTTATTCACTTCTGTTTAGAAAGGAAAATTGTCAAATAGAACAATGGCCAAGCATCAGGGAGAAGAAAACACAAAATTTGTCAAAAAAAAGAAGCCTATTAAGTCTGAATGATTGTTAGAAATTATTAAAAAAAATACACAATACAGACAGAATTGAATAAAAAGTTCCCTAAACAGGAAATAATCCAATCAAAATTCATCCAAATTACTCATTTTACACAAACTTCTTGCAGTTTACTATTTGGGATGATGTAGTTTTGAATTAATATATAACATCTATAAAATATATCACTTAGTCAGGGGTCTTCAATTTACTAAATGATGGAAAAGGGTCCCTTAAGGAAAATGGCTCTATGGCACAGATGAAGTAGATATATCCGTTTTTGCTACACAGGCAATACTAGGATCAATTAATTGTTTGTCTGTACTTATTTGCTGACAATAAAAATATAAAAATCTATCTATTTTATATATTATCAGAAATCCTTTAATACTTGAGTTTGGGGATTCAATGTTTCGCTCAAGGGCATTTCAGCAAGGCAGATGCTTGTTGCCACGAGAAATAACACAAGAATGGGAGACGTAAGATGCCTTCCAGCGGCCTATCCTATCAGAGTGAAGGGGCTTCCCCCTGGGAATTATGGGTATGTGTCAACCACCACAAAGCTCTTAGAGAGCAAACTAGCAGGGTTTAAGTCAAATTATAGAAAATTGCTAGAAAACAGACAGAATAAAGACGATCAACAAGCAGTGGCAATTACAGTCACAGGGCCACTGATTGCCAGCTCAGCCCTCTTTGTAACGACTTGATCCCATTGGACAGATAAGAAGCTGTCTACTGAAATGCTGAAAATCACTATCTTTAAACCACTGGCACATTCCCCACTTTCTCAACACTAAGCTTCTTTCTTTCTGTGCCTGAGCACATCTGACACTGTTAAATCCTTAAAGGCTTTGCCTCCTAGTTCTCTGTGTAGTATATCCACACTGGGAGGAAACCACAGGAACCCCATGCTCTGTTACTGCTGACCTGGTGGCAAATACAAGCAATGACAAAAAGTGAGTGGCAGAAAGAGACACAGCAATAGGCAAAAAGAACATCTTGGGGTATCCCCACATTTATAATCTTTTCAATAATCCTTCTGTGGTAAGAGTCTGTTGGGGCCAAAGCAATAGAAAGGAGGTAGCTGTTATGTCGAATCATATTTGATGCTCTGTATTTTACAGACTGCACTCCACCCTAATAGAAGCCTATAATTGGGAGCTGATGAGTGGTACAGTAAGTAGTGTATAAAGGAAATATTAGAGATGTCCTTAAACTCTAGCAGCAAACAGGACTTTGGTTGAGCAGTAATCACAGGCTTTGCTCTGTAATGATGGGGAAGAGCAGGATAATACCACACCAGACTCTGGGACCCCTGCTGGTGTACAGTGCCAGTTGAAATGTGTGTGTTACTTATTCTATATTTAAAAATCTTGTAATTGATGAAGATACAGCTTAAGGGAGATCGCAGTTCCTTCCTGCTG